AACAGTGCAGACGTTCAGACCCTAATGACAACTCATGTAAACTGACTACTCTGCACTTTTGGCGGTGAAATGAAGAAGCTAAATAGTGTATCAACCACAAACTGAGACTGTTTAGACATTTGCCTAGATGTCAGTGGTCTGGAAGTCAAATGCTTGGCGTGGCCTGGCAAGGTCGTGTTGATGAATAAGAATTATTTTAAAACGCAAAATAATGAAAATGTACTCATATTGTCAGCGTTTTAAACTGACAAATTATCTGAAAGCCTGTGAGAGGAGGGGTATTTGCGTCAATGAGTGTCCTTAGAAATAATTTAAAACACAATAAAATGAAAATGTACTCATATCGTAAGAGTTTTAAATTGACAAATTATGTGAAAGTGTGCAAGAGAGAAAGTATGGGTCTTGATGATCTGAGAATGCCTTAGCTGGCCATGCCAAGCATTTGACTTCTAGGCCGCAGACATCAAGGCAAATTTTTAAACAGCCTCAGTTTGTGGATGATACGCTATTTAGCTTCTTCATGTCACCGCTAAAGTGTGAAGCAGTCACTTTATATGAATTGTCATTAGGATCTGAATGTCCACACTGTTGAACACAGCAGTTTAGCTGCGCATAGTTGGAAAGCACCGAATTTTTCATTGTGTTGCACAGTGTCGCCTTTGCACTTTATTGGAAAGGACTTTCATGTACTGGCAGCTCATTTTGATTTCACATCTTTTTCTACTTTCTTGTACTTTTTTATGGGGATCTTTTATTTTTCTATGATACAATATCACTACACGTAGCCTTTAAAATAATTATTCAATTTGCAGCGTCCAAATGTCATCAATATAAACTGACAGGTTATACAGGTTAGAAATGAATAAGCGGCGTGAGCGGTAGCCATGTTACAATTCCGGGCGACGAGCCCTGCCGACTGATTTCGAGAGTCGACGAATCAACGAACAGCCTTAGCTCCTATTGGCTAAGTGTTGACGAAAAATCGACTGGAAAAGTATAAGGGTGCGCAGGAGCTAAACTAGCGCCACCAACGAAGAGCAACGGAGAATAGGTGAACTACGAAACAGTGTTTCGCGTTTTTTATACACAATAATGAAAACAAATACATAATGATTATGCATTTTGTAATCAAGGGAAGTAAATCTATCGACCTATCAAGAGTTTGTTTCGAAAATTTGCAAAAAAAAAATTTGTTCCTTAAAAACATATTTTTATCATATTTTAAAAGTGAAATTGCAAAATCGGGCGTTAGAGTGGCATGCGGAGTGATATAAAGAATATTTTAGAAAAAGAATTGTGAGAAAATATTGCTTCTTCGCTTCAAAAAACTTGATGAGCTTCGTTGCTGTGAAATCTTGATGATTTGTATGGCAATATGGTTGCTCCGCTATCACGCTGTCCACTGCAGCGCTGCTGTCGTCTCTGCTGCGGTTGTTACGCTAGTAGTCTAAGACGCTTTTCATCATGGTTCAGTATCGTAGTAAGTTTAAAAAATGCCCGCGGTCATACATTTTTCTTTTAAGTAAGTGTGTATATGTAAATAGAAATTGGTAAAAAAAAATTATGTACGTGTAAACTAACTTGGATTGATTATAATAGATTGAAAAAATTGTCTTTTGTGATGATGAAAAAAGTAGGTATAGTTAGTATGAACGTAATAAGATAGACAAAAGCATACGCATTATGAAATATAAGTCTTATTGAAAGAGAATAAATGGTAAAAGTGTAGTAGTAAAATGCACCTTTACGATAATTGTAAATGATTGTAATAAATGCTTTGCGAAGTACTGGAATTCTATATTACATCTATAAATATAAATTTAATAATGGAAAATAAGCAATATATCTATATTTTAAATTTAAATTTATATGAAAATATTTATATTTTATTATTTAATGTTTTATTAATAGTTTTATCGATAATTTTTCTATCTTTAGATTTAATAAACTTTTATTTTTATTATGGAGTAAGATTAATTTTGACATTTATAATTATTGTTTATCGAGGATTAGAAATTATACGATTAATATTGAGATATTATTTGATATTTTACACATTATTTTTTTCTTTACCTTTAGTAATATTTATTTTTTATATTATTATACTTTTTAATACAAATGTATTTTTTATATTAGGAATAATTTAAATATATATAAATTTATATTTATTTATATAATATTATCTTTTTTTATTAAAATTCCTATATATTTATTTCATTGTTGGTTATTAAAAGCTCATGTTGAAGTTCCAGTTTACGGTTGCTAATTTTAGCTATAATTTGTAGTTTATAACGCTGTTTCTAGTACACCTCTTCTCTAACACTTGTTCG